GTGTTTACCTTCTTTTACATTGTACTTGTTTTGGTCATAGACTGACCTCCCAGAGTCTCTGAGTTTGTTCTTATAGTTTTGTTTTGTTAACAATTCTTCTTTCTGTTGACTTAATTCAGGTAGGTGCTGCCATGTATGTCAATTTCTGGTTGTTGTCTGTTCTTATTGGCTCTCAGTCCACAGAACTGCCTTTAGGATGTTTTGTAGTGCAGGGTTGGCTTTGGTAAAGTCCCATAGCTTCTGTTTATCCTGGAATGTTTTGATTACACCATCATATTTGATTGATAGCTTTGCCGGATAAAGGATTCTTGGTTGCCCATTTTTAAGTTGGTTGTTTGCGTTCAGCAGTAAGAGTTCTTGACAAGGTTGTTATCACTTCTATGATTGGCAAATATTTTAGTTCATTCTGCTGGTTGTCTTTATTTTCTTAATAGTGTTTTTTGAAGCAAGAGCATTTTAATTTTATTGTAAACATCTTGATGAAGTCCTGTTGATCTGTTTTGTTTTGTTTTTTCCCATTTGGTTGCGGTATACCGGGCATATCTTAGAAACCATTGCCTAATCTTAGATCAAGAAGATAGAGTGTGCATAATTTTATGAGTTAAAGATATAATAGATCTGAATTTCATGATGTTTTTCATTTGCTTAATAAGAACTTTAATCAATAAAAAATACACATAATTGGTATGCTGTTTGCTACTTTTCATAAAATAATGTGGTTTTAAAAATTAGGTATGGTTCAGGGAAGTCACTTTTGGGTTGTATGCTTTGAGTATTCTGCCTCTGAATTGCTAAGTACGTTAGTTATTGTGAGATGCCATTTTTTTCTGTCCTTTATGACCTAGCTTTAAATTTTTTCAATTTTAGGAATGTTTTCTATAGTCCTAAAAGGGCTGCAAACTGCAAGGTCAGCAGTTAAAAACTACCAGCTGTTCCACAGGAGAAAGATGAGGCTTTCTGCTCCCATAAAGATTTATAGCCTTGGAAACCCTGTACAGGGTCTCTATGAGTCAGAACCGACTCCACGGCACACAACAACAACAACAATGTGGCCAAAGTATGGAGGTGACCAAAGAATGGGATGGCCATTTTGTGCACTGTTTTGAAGATCAAAATATGGGGCTCCCAAAAGTGAAGGTTGTTGAAGTCTACTTATATGACAGTAGCTTAGTTGTTTAAGCAACTATTTTCTTTTGCAAATCCTTTGCAAATCCTGACAGTATTTACACAAGAAGTTGCTTAAGTAGACATTTGTAATTTAAACTTAATGTTTTACCATTCTCATATACAAAAAACTTTATATATATATAAAAAATCTTTGGACAATAACTGTTAGTTTTTGTGGGCAAAAGGGTGTGCAGAGTTGGGGTTTATATGTGTGTATAAGTATACATAAAAGTGTATATATTTTTTGCATTTTTTCTTGGCAGTTTATTTTTTTAAGCCAGGTTTTATGATTTGAAGGGATAAAGTAGTTAAGGATAGGTTTGTTTCTTTGGAGGATGAAGACTTCGTGATATTTGAATTTTGTCTTGCTTAATTAGATTGTGGACACCTAAAATTCCAGTATGTTAAATGTAGTTATAAATGTAAGCTTTAAATGCAAGATTGTTTCACAAAATTGATTCATTTTATGAATGAAATCCCTCTTACTCTGTTTCAGGGGCAGCTTACATCTGAGACGGACTACAGAACAGCACGTGCCAGAGGTGGAAGTCCAAGTTAAACGTAGAAGGTCAGCCTCACTAAGCATCCAAGAGTGAGTAAATCTGGTGTCTCAGGTCAGACTTTTTAGAGAAGCAAAACCAGTGAAACATATTGTGTGTATATGTATATGTATGTCAGGTGCCATTGACTTGGTACCAACTCTTAGCGACCCTATGCACAACAGAATGAAACATTGCTCAGTTCTGGGCCAACCTCACAATTGTTGCCATGCTTATATATATATTATATGTTGTATATAATATATATATATATATGTTTATTATCAGGGGAATGACTTACAATTGTAGAGTCCCAGGACTCTAGCTGAAGAACCTTTTCCATATGCCCAATGTATTGAGAGCAGTCAACACCCCAATAAAGCATCCTTGTCATTGATTGGCTGCTCATGGCCACTCATCATAGTGTTAACTATACCTGTATCCGTTCCAATCACCATGGGAATAGCACGTCTCAGTGGCTAAATCTCTGGAAATCTTGGCCTAGTCAAGTTGACACAGATCCCTAACTGGGTTGAAAAGGAATTCATGTCAGAATCTTGTTTCATGTTGGGGAAAAAAGTGATATGCATTTGTTGTGTTTACTGTCCTGCGAAAACGACGAATGGAAGAATATACTACTCAAAACATACAGTTAAGGGAGCCTAGATCCAGAGCAGGCGGGGGAAGGTAGAATCTCCACTGAATAGTACCCAGTCTGTCTGGGTGGTGGGACTGATGAAAGGAGATGTGGATGGAACTCATGTGGCACAATAGTGAATAATTACTATCAGGACTGACTGTGAGGGTTGGAAATGTAAAAGTAGACGTTTTGTAAGCAAAAGGAAGGGAGTGGTTGACATTGCAGTCCAGGAGCAGAGGTCCCTGGGACCATCAAGGGAGAAGAGTGGAGTGTGGGACCCTACCCAGAGAAACATTGACGCCAGAGATGGAGGCAGAGATGATGATGTGGAGAGATGGGAGCAGCTGGGGACTCTAGACCCAGAGAGGGAGAGAGGCTGTGTGCTGAAGACTGGGGGCAGGCTTGTAGTATATACCCTTTGGTTGGTTGATGATGCATGGAGGGGATTGTAACCATGGCAACGAAACAATATACTATAGGATGAATGTAAAGCTAATGTTCTCCCATGTAAACTATCACATAATTCACAGTAAAATATTAAAACAAAACAAAACATATAGTTAAGAGGTTTAGGGGAGAGTAGCTCTCCTGAGTTAGGAAAACTCCTACTAACTTATTCCTTCTCCTCATATTTATTGTTGTTGTTGTTATGTGCCGTGGAATCGGTTCCGACTCATAGCAACCCTACACAGGGTTTCCGAGGCTGTAAATCTTTACGGAAGCAGACTGCCTCATCTTTCTCCCGCAGAACCACTGGTAGTTTCGAACTGCTGACCTTGTGGCTCGCAGCCCAATTCGTACCCACTACGCTACCAGAGCTCCTTTATTAGGCTTTATCAAAGCAGAAAGTTCAAAAACAATTTTGCAAGCTTTAGGAAAACATAAGGCACAGCATAAATTCTTAGATAAGGTGTTGAGTACAGAGAAATGTGTAAGAAAGTTCTGACCTCAAACACTCATAACTAGGCCTTCCTAGTTCCACAGACACCCTTGACAAACACCTTTGCCTGAGTCTTCTTGGTCAGCATGCTCTCTTTCTCACACACACTCTACCAGGGCAGAACAGTCTATAAAGCTACATTCTTTTAACCCATGTTATGCCAGACTTAGTGAAAGCAATCCCCACACTCATTGAGGAAAGATTAAAATGAAGTTAGAAGAATCACTGGTGGTGGTGATGGTGTGCCATGGAGTTGGTTCCAACTCTTAGCGATCCTGTCTGGGGTTTCTGAGGCTGTAAATCTTTACGGGAGCAGAAAGCCTCATCTTTTTCCCACAGAATGGCTGGTAGTTTCAAACCGCTGGCTTTTTGGTTAGCAACCTGACTCATAACCACTATGCTATCAAAGGTCCTTAGAAGAATCACTTTTGTTGTTAGGTGCCATCAAGTCATTACTGACTCATAACTAGACCTAACTAATACAGAAGATGTTAGGAAAAAAAGCAGTAACATCCTTGAATGTGATAGCTGCTACAGTTTCAGGTGCTGGACTGCAAGGTCTGTTTGAATTGAAAGGTCAGCAGTTCAAGTTCACCAGCTGTGCTTCTGAAACCTTATACAGGGTCACTATGAGTCAGAATCGACTCGATGACACTTAACAACAGTGGAAGAATCACGTAGACCTTACTAATACAGGAGGTGTTAGGACAAAAACAGAAAAATCCTTTATTGTGGTGTCACAACTTCAATCCTGGAGATAGTTTGACACAGTTGCTGCAGCCGTGGGCTCAAATTTAGGAAAGATTGTGAGGATGTCTCTGGTCTGGGTAGTGTTTTGTTCTGTTGTGCATTGGATCATTATGTGTTAGAAGTGCCTTGATGATACGTTGCAACAACCTTTCAAACTGTTCAGACTTAAGTATAATTATTTCCCTTGTTTTCCCACATACATATATCAGATGTGTTTTATATTAATAAAATCACTTTCATGTTCTTCAACAAGTGTATAGCTGAATAATTTCTGCTTTATTGGTTAGATTGTTAAAACTGTGTCTGCTTGCATTGAAGTGACATTTTACATATCCATTCTTGCTTTTTAGCAATTAGGTTTAAGTTTTCTTTTTGGTTAGTACATATCTTCAGGAGAAAATTAAAAATACGTTTTTATCCCCTCTGGAACACATGAAGGTAAGTTAAGTTAAAAACTATTGCTATAAAGTCATAGATAACCACATTAAGCAAAAATACCAAAATGTGAAGCTATTGGTTGTCGACATGCCCTCCTTCTAGATCTGTACACTTGGATGTGAGAAGACAGTGTTGTCAGTTCTCTAATACTCTCATGAAGGAGCTCTGGTAGCGTAGTGGTTACGAATCGGATTGCGAACCTCAAGGTCAGCAATTTGAAACTACCAGCTGTTCTGTGGGAGAAAGATGAGGCTTTCTGCTCCCGTGAAGATTTACAGCCTCAGAAACCCTGTACAGAGTCGCTATGAGTCAAAACTGACTCCACAGCACATAACAACAACAACAAATGCTCTCATGAAGAATTGTGTGTTTTTCATTTACATCACCTCAGTTTGGATGCTCTCCAGGACATCATTGTGTTCCTTTCCAATATTCTTAAAGTTTTAGAAACAAAGAAGTCTGCAGGGGCAAGATCAGGAGTGTTGGGTAGATGAAGTAAGGAATCCCAGCAAAATCCTCATACAGCAGCTCTTTTCTACCCTTGGAGAATGATCAGGTGGGGCAACTCCTTCCATCAAGGTGTTTGGTAATGTCTAATAAGGTTTCATAATTCGGTGTGGTCCACCGCATTCAGGCATCTGTTTGAGACAAATTGAAATACACATGTAGAACTCTCCCTTCCACATTCATTCAGGCTATGTATCTATCCGTGCATCTACCCATATGTGATTGTGATTGCAGGATTGTGTATATAATATTTACCTCTTTTCCCTTTAACTCTTGCACTCCTCTCCGTGTCTTCCTGCCTTCTTCATTCTTTTGCCAACCTCCCTCTTATATATTGCCTTCCCAGATACCCAAGTTAATATGTGTTCACCCTCTGGCCAGTGAATTCCTCTCCCTTCCCTCTCACCACTGGTAACCTTGAAGAATGTTTTTTTTTAGTGTGTAAAGCTTTTCTTGGCTTTTTTTTTTTTTTTAACTTTTTATTGGGAATTGAGTTAAAGTTGACAGACAAAATCTTCAGCTTTTTTTTTTGAATTACTGACCGTTCGTTCCATGGTGAGCGGGCCATGCTAGTGTTGTTGTTCCCTCCCCTCTATATACCTGTCTACTGCTTGACTGAAAATTGGGCCATGAGGAGGGTAAGCTCCTTTCCAGACCTGAAGGGTGGTCATGGGCCCTAGTCTCAGGTTCCTCCTGTCTCTATCAGAACAGTATACCCAGTTTGTTTGTTCCTTTTTAAAAAATAATTTTGCATTTCCTTCCACATTTTTCCCCACTCTATCTGGGACTCTAGAATGTGATCCCTTTCAGAGCGTTGGGAGTGGTAGCTGAGCACCATCTAGTTCTTCTAGTCTTGAAGTCGTGGAGACTTAATGTTCACATGTTCCATTAGTCCACTGGACTAATTGATTCCAAGTTTCTTTAATTCTTGCCACTCTTCTTGCTCTGCACATGGAGAGACCAATGGCTGTACCTTAGATGGCCCCTCATGAACTTTCAAGATCCCAGATGCTACTCACCCAAGCAGGATGTAGAACATTGTCTTTGTGGACTATGTTCTGCCAATTGACCACGGTGTCCCCTGAGACTCTGGTCCTGAGCCCCCAGTCCCAGCAAGTCATTGTCTTAACATATTTGATAATCTCCAGGAAGATTTCATCATTTTGCCTGCTGCATTTGCCACCACATTCCTAGTATGTTTGCATGAAAGGTATATACTCACATACAAATATCCTCTTTCAAACTCTTAAATATTTGTGGGATATGTAAATATATATCTGCATACATCCCATACTTCCTCCATTATCCATTCTGCCTGTTTCTCAATTCAAGTATCTATGTACAGAACACTGCTGTTCCAAGGTTGTGTTAGATCACTATTTACCTTGATCCCCTTTAACCCGTGCATACCTCCCTGTTTATTTGCCTGGCTTCATTACATTATTCTTCTGCCAATCTCCCTCTTGTGAATTGCCCACCCCTTCTTATATATTGTCCTCCCCATCATCTAAGCTAATATACCTCTCCTCTCTCCACTCTCCCTACCCCTGGTAACCATCAAAGAATATTTCTTTTAGTATGGAAACCCTTTCTTATGCTTTTACAATAATGGTCTCATATAGTATTTGTCATTTTGTGGTTGACTAATTTCATTTAACATTATGTTCTCCAGATTCATCCATGTTATGAGGTGTTGCATAGATTCATCGAGATTCCTCTAGGTTGCATAGTATTGCATTGTGTGTATGTACCTTGGTAAAGTGTCTGTTCATATACTG